GGACGTGAGATCATTAAATAACCAGGAAATATATAACCAGGAGTCGGTTGTTCAAAGCTGGATTCACGCTAAGGTCTTGGTTAAAATTTAACCTGCTGTTTTAGTTTGTGTTTCTGCACGTCTGCTTATTTCAAAACTTCAGAGAAGAGAACTCCTGCTGATCCAGACAAGATTTCTGAAGAAATATTTTTCCAAATTTACGAACAAACTTTTGGGAAGTTTGCTTTTAATTTTATAGGTTAACCCCGTTAATTCGTTTGAATTCGAAGTACAACCAGCCCGATCTCGAGGAATATTAAGTTGACTTACCCAAATAGTGTTATTTAGAAAATTTTCAGTAAGAGTGTAATCCTGCTCTATCACAACACTCTTGCCACTTGACCTGCGTTGTGACAGGAAAAATATTGCTCTAGTTATCAACGCCGGCTTGCTAAATATTGACATTTTAAACTACTACGAATGATGACCCCTTAACAATTTCCCACGCGTCTATCTAAATTATCAGATGAACATGACTATCAGTTTGTCTGCTGCGTGCTGGCAATGTTCAAGAGGGCCACACATGGTTGACCATTTACTCCGAAAAATTATTTGCATTGCTGACTTCAACATTTCCCAGAATATTTACATTCAATGTTAAATCACGAACATATGCCATGATGAAACACATCAAGACCATAAAGATTAAAGGCCACATTTGTTACATAGTATTCATGATAACTTAGACCATGAAACAAACAAGGCCTCTGCTTGAATAAAACTCTCAAGCAAGTTAAAAGTATGGGATGTTCTTGTACAGCGGAAACAAGCTGAAAACTATATCGTGTTTTTGTAGTTACATTCATCGCAACTGCTCGAGCTCAGAGTTAGGTCTCAAAATATGAAAAGTTTTGGTTCAAAACTTCCACCTGGAGCACAGGCGGCCCAATCTCGCAAGGTCAGTATAGACTTTATACAGTATAAATTTATATTATATTATATTAATTGTATATTATAGTAAAAATATGTCGTAAAACATAAATTTTAAAATGAAATTTACTTGCCTATTTGATAGTGTGTGTTCTCCTTTTATTCCTCCTTTGTTGGACTAATATTTTCCGAGACTTTGTACTCGATGTTACTAGTATACATGAAACATGATAAAGGCTAACCATTCCCGATCGTCGATCCGACGGCACGGCACTTCGAATCGAACATTTTCACAGTACTTCGGCGAGATGTATAAGTTTTGGACCATATTTTAACAATGGAAATCAAAACCCATTTTATATTGAACTTGCCCAGGCCGAAAATTACTACGGCGAACGTCTGCGCAACCAGGCCTTCTTTACCGTTGGATTTACAGGGGGGGAAGCAGATATTTCCGGTAACAGCCAGCCAATCGCAACCGTGATAGCGACTGTTTACATTATTTGAAATTTGATATTCAAAATAAAAACTCCTTCGATCGGATACTGTATAAAACTCGAGATGTTGTCGAAGAAAAGAAAACTAAACGACGGAGATTGTAGGAATTTAAGGAAGAAGAAATATACAGCGGCTCTTTGACAGTCTTTGTTGGAAAGCATGGTAGAATATGATACTTTAATTCGAAATACGATCGTTAATATATTAGTGGCATCCTCCCCCCTGTAAATCCAACGGTAAAGGAGGCCTGGTTGCGCAGACGTTCGCCGTAGTAATTTTCGGCCTGGGCAAGTTCAATATAAAATGGGTTTTGATTTCCATTGTAAAAATATGGTCCAAAACTTGTACATCTCTCCGAAGTATCTCCGTATTTTCGAAGAACGGCATCTGTTGTACATGCTGGCGAATTTTTTTGGAGAATAAAGCGATTTGAGTGCGAGAATTTTCGATTCGAAGTGCCGTGCCGTCGGATCGACGATCGGAAATCGTTTGCCTTTATCATGTTTCATGTATACTAGTAACATCGAGTACAAAGTCTCGGAAAATATTAGTCCAACAAAGGAGGAATAAAAGGAGAACACACACTATCAAATAGGCAAGTCAATTTCATTTTAAAATTTATATTTTACGACATATTTTTACTATAATATACATTAATATAATATACATTTATACTATAAGTCTATACTGACTCTTGCGAGATTGGGCCGCTGTGGACACACTGAAGTCAATAATTAATACGCCAAAGTTGGATTACCTTTTTGAAAGACCTGCCGTAAAAAATATTCTACGTCGCTGCAATGGGGTTTAACAACCAACAACTTGCATGTCTGTGCAAAACCTGCTGTAGTTTTTCCGGTGGTAAAGTGTTAATTAACTTAGTTGAATAACTTAGCAATTCATTATCTGAATGAGTGAACTTAGCACTTTGTTGTATTCAAGCCGATTAATTTACTTTGCTGTTGTTATTGAAATCGTGCACGGACTTGTTTCGTATTTATATACACTC